AGTCCTCTTTCTCACACCACGACTTACGGTCGGAATCCTTCCAGTCTCATAACTGTTGCTATCTTCTATCATGCAGCCTGTACGACTCTGACCTTGTAAGTGTGCTTATGCATCTCTTCTCTCCTTTTTCCTCCAGCTTTTAGCCAATTTCTAGGCCTTACTTTGTGAACATATACAGAGCTTAATAAGATGTCCTTTCTGGCATCTATAGGTATACTGAAGTTCTTCGCTCGATACTTTGTTGAACTAACAAATATTGTTATAGCTTATTTCATAGATCTGTTTATTCATTCGTATGACTTTACTGCATCTAGGTAGGTCATACTATACCATAACTCATACTTCGATTTATCGTTAATGTTGTCTGCAACCAACTCCAGGTTACTCTCTTTGCTTATCCTATATGTATAAATCTATGTCCTTTAATGCTTCTTCATTACTGTTTATCTTAAGAATGATGGCCTAATCTTACCTCATACTTTGTGACTTTTGTCCATCCATTGTCGATTCGCCTTAATGTAGATGTATCATCTATCAGTGATAACTTGATCTCTTATGTAACGCTGCCGCTAGGGCTAACGTCTCATCGTGGAACATTTGAAGTGATTGTCTTGATCCACCTGGGGGTGATACGATACTGTACTTCCATAATCGTATTTCATAGAACCCCACTGTGATTTACCTTATGTGGGTATTTTAATCCTGTACAATTCATGAAATCATTACTCAATCGAAGGCACAGACGTCATCCTTCCTCTATCATAATTACACCTTTATTCTACTGTAAGAGTAGCATTCCATCGTTTCTAAATTCCATTAGTCTTAGACTCATTTGAGTTCATTTAGGCTATACTGAGCTTTGTATAACTTAGAGAAACCACCAGCTCTTCTTGTTTTCGTGGGCTTAATCCTGAGGACTTGTCCATTCTCGTCACCTTCTCACTTGCCCTTTCATATCCTTACTCCTGTCTTCCTAAAACCTTGTTGCTTTATCATACTTTAGCTTGCGACCTACACATATCTATTTGTATTACTCGCAACCTTCCTTCAACTTGCTTGCATCATAGGTTCCCTAGTGTTATTCTGGAATATCATCTGAGACATCACACCATCTCTAACTCTTCTTTACTCTCTTAACTAGACCTCTCAGTACCTAGAAATCATAGGCTGGAAGATATACCACTGAAGATGCCGCTATTATTCCTGGATACTGAATCCATACGCTTCTAGCCTTCTATCCGCACTATGGACAATTCACAACCTTTTGCATTTGAGTATTTCATATGTCGTTCACCTTTACCTTACTACCTTAAAATCTTGCATTGTATCTTCTATTTCTTTCATGACCTCCCTTACATATAGGTATAATTCACGTACTTAACTTGAAGCTCTATTATAATACTTGCACCTCTGGTGCATACACGATCCGATGGAAGCTTCATACTGACTTCTTATGAGGCTGGTACCCTTCTAACGGGATTTATCGTAGAGCCGTTATTGAATATGGATATTGTACTATATGTCTTGTACATCTGATATTTAATAGTAAACCTGCAATATTCTCAATCACGAGTTCTATTATTTTCTGGGTCCAGTAATCAAATTCCTAATCTACTTTGTTGATGTAACTCTTTAGTTTCCTTCTCCTTTTGATCAGCCTTTATGCTTAAGATATCTTCTGATCTGTGGCTCATGGTGTTACTTTAGCCTTCCATGGACGCTATGGAATCCATGATACCATCATCTAACAATTCAATCATTTGTCTATGACCTGAACATAATTCTTTCTTTTAACTTATGCTGGAGTATTCTACGGCTGTACGATTTCCAACATATATGTTGCATGGATAATACTCTGAAATCTTGAGGGCATTCATAATGTAACTAACTCTGGATCATTATAATTTCTTATGTTCCTTCTCAGCTTTCTTTAAATGTAAGCAATTACTTTCTCCGGTCGTTCTGCCACTTGTTGCATGAATACTTGGGTTATATTAGTGCTCACACATATTGAAATTCCATATGACCCATATGACCTTGAATATCACCATTTTGATTTTTTTTGTTCATTAACCAGGATAGGTGCCACTTTCTTATGGAGTGCATACAACGTTGTTGTGAGACTGTTGTTATAAGATTATTTCCTCTTTAGGTCATTGTGCTTAGGTTGAAGCCTTCTTTCTTATTTCCTCATCTAGTCTTTCATTGTAGTACTTAGGGAGGATCCTCTGACTCTTGTAAAGCTGCGAGCTTATTATATCGCATACTCGACAGAATTTTTAATGTCATTCCTCGCCTATAACTATCTGTAGTTACTTACCTCCATGCCTTTGTGCTGGTAGGGTTACTTTTAAACTGATATATTGACTGTCTTCCCAATGACACTCTCTTTTATTCCCGTAACATTCATACGGTACCTTTAACTACCCCGACTCATATCTGAATGTATGTCAAGTATTATAATGACATTACTGCGAGGTTGAATCTCCATGTTAGGGTTCACTATATTTATCTTGCGTGATCTACTGATTTGTCTGTAACCTCTTGTCTAATCATGACTAGGCTCTTCATGAATCAACTACTAACTACTTGTTGGCCCATCCTCATGTCCATATTTCATGTAATCTTTATTGGGTTATTTCCTTTGTCTTAACTTGCCTCATGCACTGGACCCTTATCTATCAATAATATCTCGGGCAGGAACCGTTACTTCCTTTTCTTGACGTCGTGCTTACATAATGTTTTGGAATCGTAGCATATTTGTAGGATTTGGATAAGTGCAATCCCATCCCTTTCTCATTTTATCGCATTCCTCCTTTACAATTCCATATTCCCCCCTTTAGGGGAGTACTAAGACTTGGAGCTATGACGACTTGCCAATAGATGTTTTTCCACTCCATCTTTGGCGTACTTTCGCATCATCAATGACCCTTGCTTGCCTTGTGGTAATTCTTCTGTACCAAGGATAACAAAATTCCTCACTCGCAATGGTGGCACTTAGTGTAACTGGCATATATAGTCCCTTAAGCTTAACTTTGCTCACATTGCTTGCTTTAGGGAAACGTTTTCCTGAATGACCAACCTCCGAATTTGTCATGGGTCTTCTTGTGTTGTCCATTTTATTACTGCAGTAACGCAATCTGAAAGTCTCATGATACTGCTATTATCAAATCACTCAGTTCATAATTCATGTATAGTTTATCTTGTTCACCAGTTCATATTGATTTCTATTACTCTGGGGTCTAACTTTCCCTTCTGTTAATCATGTTAGAGTCACAAACGTATTTCTCGAAATGAGGACGTGATTGCATGGCCTATACTCTTTCGTTGTCTTAAGGCCCATCACCCCTCGTCTCTTTCTTCATTTGACTATAGATTCTGTAATACTGTCTTTTCGACCTACCTTTCTCATCCATGTATCACATCTTACTCTTAATGCTTCATTAGCTCTCTTCTTATTTCATGCTAACATTTTTGTCTATCACTTTATTCTGAAACTTCAACAAGATATTCTTTCGTTTTTAGCTCTGCTTGCTTCATTCATCGGCTCTTCGGGTTGCTCAACCCCCTCGCTCTACTAGGGACGAGAGTCACACTAAGGTAATATTTATCCCTTCCAGGCTTTCAGTGCCTATCTTCAAAAAAAAATTTGATCACGCTAGTATTCACATCTAATTGTAATATTCTAGAGCGCACCACCTGGGTGTCTCACAAGGAGATCTATTAGTACCTTTGTAATATCCTTCGGAAATGTCAACTAACACAAACCATCCATTCATCATTTTGGGTTACTCTAACCCCAGTCGGATCCTACTATCCTGTCCTTCTCTTAAACCATATATGTTAGCTCCCATAGGGCATGACTGAGATAGGTGTGGCCGATTGTACGTACATCCATTACTGTTGAAGGTAATTCAAAATGCTTATATCTCCCTTCCTGAATGGTAAATAATTATAATATGTATTAATTGGGTACCTTGTACACTTCTTCACCTTGCTTCTTTTACTTGCTGCAACTTGTGTCTAACTTCCGATTCTGTTATTCAATTTTACCGTAAGAGTGGATAAGTATTCTTTCCTAAAAGCTCCTATCAAGAACCGTGCACCTTTTAGTACACGCATGATCTGCTGAAGACCTCGCATTTACTCATCATAAGCAAGATGCAAAATCGATTTCCTCTAATTCAACACTTCCACAGCAATATCTCTTATCGATCATCTTTCTCAACGTAGGCATCGTCTTATTACTAATAAAATAGAAGTTTGGAATTTGAATTCTTATAAGTGAGCTCTACCACACGATCTAGAGTAAGAAGAAACAGTGACAGTCATAAATTCCTTGTAGCCTCCTGCTTATAAGTGTTGTGCACGACACACCCATAAATAAGACTCTACTAGACACGGCTTGTAGACTCCCTAGGACAGAACTGCTCTGATACCACTTTTGTCACAACCCAAAACGATGGGCCGTGACGGGCACCCGGTACCTTACTCAATCGAGTACCAACATAACGTATCTTTCTTATTATACTATCACAGATAACTGAGCCAGAGAGGCTGCCCTGAAATAGATAGAATACAACATGTAATACCAAATTATACATAAGATATATGGGCCTCTAAGACCAAAATAACCACCCGTAGACTGAACATAGGCCGACAAGGCCATACAATCTCTTACGTACATGGCATATATCTACAAGCCTCTTAGGATACATAATTCTCAAAAAGGCAGGGACAGAGCCTCGCCATACCAAACAATACACATCTAAATCATACTGACCTAACAAGCAACTCCGGAGCAAATGGAGTGCACCAACATCTTCCGCTGAGTTGATCGCCTACTTGGAGGACTCTCGACCTATCTATCGAGACCTGCAGGTGATAAGTTGGTATTTTACCAGCTTATCTTGTCTTTAAACCTATACTTTTTGCTGTGTTTAAGTGATAAAATCGTGTGCTTAATGTCGTTTACTTCCATTTTACAGGTTCTAAGTGACTTAGAAGTAAAGGGTGGAGAAACCAAGTGAAAACAGATCAAAAGGAGCTAAAATGAACAAAATAATGCCTGCCAGTGATTTGCCCTTCGCGAACGCAAAGGCACAACGCAAACGCGAAGGAGCTGGAAACCTAACCTACGCGAACGCGAAGGGACAAACGCGAACGCGATGGTTCAAAATCCAAAATCTTCGCGAACGCGTATACCTGAACGCGAACGCATAGACTCCAGACCCAAAGCTTCGCGAACGCGTAGGTCCAAGCGCGAACGCGTAAGATCAGAATATTAAACCTTCGCGAACGCGAAGTTGTTAACGTTAACGCGATGAAGAACTGGGCGTGAAAACTGGGCAGTTTTGGAATTTCACATTTTTGACCCCAAACCCTTTAATACCCAAATCAGCTCATTTGTAAAGTATCTTTGGCATATCTTTGGCTTATTTTCAGTTCATAGAGTTAGAGAGAACAAGTATTGAAGCTAGGGTTTTGCACACACACTTGGGTTTTGAAGATTGAAGCTTGTGGTTAAGATTTCTTACCCATTTATGTTTACTTCTTCATTTTCTTGCTTTGTATTGAATATTTAAGTGTGTAATATTTATTTCCAACACTTGAATCTTGTTTATGGAAATATTCATATTTAAAGTGTGGATTAAATACCTTATTGTGCTTATGTATTGAATGATTTTTATTCTTTTATGAAGTGAGTTATTGTTATTTTAATTATTCTTGTTCTTTAATGTTTCCAAAGGGATTAGCTAACCCTAGGACTCGCCCATTAACTCCGAATTAATTTTGGAAAAGATAGTTTGTGGTTGGGAAAGATTAATTAACAAGAACTTGAGGCTTTAACCCTCATTTTATAGATTCTACCTAGGGATAGGATTGAACTACTTGTAGCCATTCCGGGTGTGCTTAATCTTCTAATTATTTTAGGGATGATTCAATTAGGAAGTCTTGTTAGTCTTCGGAAGAAGCTAATTAAGAATTATTATCTGTGGCTAATTAACATAAACTCGCTCATATTTGTAAAATCGTGAAATATATTGGATCGTTACTTGAGTGTAATTCCCGATGCAACCATACTTGTAGCCATTGATCATTTTACTTGCTTTCTAGGTTAGTTTACATTTCCTCATTTAGATATAAAACATTTTCAAAACCAAATTCTTATTGTTTGGCATTGCGCGATAAGCGATAATTTTCTTATATTTCTAATCGCCTACACATTGTTCTCTGTGGGATTCGACCCCGACTCATAGTTGGGTAAATTATATTGCATGCGACCGTGTCTATTACTTTTTAGTAGTGGATTTGGACGTTACCAAAATTGGCGCCGTTGACATCTATCATTGAAATGCTTTCATACTCATGGGGCAACTTCATACCCTTGCTTGCTTGAAATGTGACTTCTTCATCATTTACCCGGAATTTAATTTCGTTCCGCTCGGAATCCATGAGTGCTCTTCCCGTGGCTAGGAATGGTCTCCCCAAAATGATAGGGATTTCTTTATCAACCGCACAATCAAGAATTACGAAATCGGCGGGTAATTGGAATCCTCCAACTTTCACAATCACATCATCAACAATTCCTACCGGTCGCTTAATGGAACGATCGGCCATTTGTAATCTCATGCTTGTTGGCCTTCGCATGCCTAATCCCGCTTGCTTATAAATGGCAAGTGGCATCAAGTTGATGCTAGCCCCATTGTCATAGAGGGCTCTTGCAAATTCACGCGCCCCGATAGTGCATGGAATAGTGAAGGCTCCCGGGTCCTCTTTCTTTTGGACAAGGGTTGTGGCAATAATAGAGCTAACCCGGTGAGTCATGTTTACCACCTCATTCTTTGTGGTCCTCTTCTTGGTGATCAAATCCTTCAAATATTTAGCGAACCCCGGTATCTCTTGAAAAGCTTCCACAAAAGGAATATTCACCGCTAATTGCTTTAGGATGTCGTAGAATTTTTCAAGTTTGCTATCATCAACCTTTCTTGCGAGCCTTTGAGGAAATGGGGGAGGAGGTCTAGGAATAGGAGGAAGAGCTTTTGGTGTTTCTTTCACTTTTTCCTTCACCTCTTCCCGGTTCTCTTTTTGCACTTTCAACTCGTCCGGAATCTTTTCAACCTCGACAACACTTGGCTCTTCAACCTCAACCCTTTGTTCGGACTCTTCTTCTTGAACCGTTTGTTCAACCTCTCCGTGTAGCACTTTCCCACTCCTAGTAGTGATCGCCATGATGTGAGAAGTTGGGCCACTCCCACTACCTCTCGGATTTGCAACCGTGTCACTAGGGAGTGTTCCCTTTTGTTTTTGATTTTGCTCTTTGGAGAGGTCTCTCATTTGCATCTCCAATTTTTGGATGGAGGCGGTATGAGATCCAACAACCTCGGTCATGTTCCTCATGGAAGCATCGGAATTTTCTTGATTTTGCAACACTCGCTCAAGCATAGCTTCCAACTTTGATTCACTAGAGATTTATTGTGAGTTCTTTTGCATTACTTGTAGTCTAGAACTTGCCCGGAATGTGCTTCAAGGCGAAATTACAGACTAACTTGATTTGAAAAATGATATTAGGCCTTCCTTGGACCGCTAGTATTCCTTAAAATTCCTACCCTTGAATATTTTCCCTAGTCAACCCATTTTGAGCCTTTAACCTTATTCTTTGGCAACCATATTACAAGCTTTAATCATTTGTTTTTAATTAATCTAGCTTTTGGCACCCTACCTCCCTAAGTACTTTGAAAGTGCAAACATAGGCTAAAAGCCTAAGTTTGGGGGTGAAGGTTTAAAAAATTGTGATAAGGGAGTTGTTTGAAAAGGTGGAAGGTAGAGAAAAAAAAATATATGAAATCTTCCTTGACTTTGAAAAGGAAAGAAAACAAAAAAAAGAAAAAGAAAAAAAGAAGGGTATATAGAATAAAATGATAAAAAGTCGTAAATAAAGGGAAGACTAGGTGTGGAATGAAAAGTGAAGAAAGGATGGAAAATGTTTTTGAAGGAAGTGGACTTTAATTGTAAATATTGTAGTGCTTGGGGAGGTTTTGAGTCACTTTAACCAAAATTGTGCCCTACCTTAACCAAAAGCCTAAACTACTACCCTTTAAGTCCTAATTGATTTTGAACCAAGTTGTCTACATTAGTGGAGGAATACATGAAGGGCAAGCCTATGGTACTAATTGTATGCATTTGAACATCTTTTTGAGAGAGAGTACATTCTTTCCATTTGATATCCCACTGTTGCTTTGAATTAAGATTTATGAATGTGGGAACCTCTCTAAAATGTGAGGGCACATGAGAGTTGAGTTGTGAATTGAATCCCATTTTCAATTGGAAGGAATGACCAAAGAAAGTTGATTGTGATAGAGAGGCAAATTTTGAAGCTTTAGTGTCATGACTTGATTGCTACTTTGATTTGCATTAGTATTCGAGCACTTGAAGTATAATGAAGTTCATGAGAAGTGCTTGAAAATTCATATGCTTTGGAGTAATTGTTGGTACCAATCTAAGTCATGTTTTTGTGCTTATAGTAGACCTTCTTGGCTTGGCATTATATGGATGTGTTGAGTTAACTACTTGGGAGGAGAATTTATCGCTTTTATTGCTTGAGGACAAGCAATAGTTTAAGGTTGGGGGTTTGATAAGTTGGTATTTTACCAGCTTATCTTGACTTTAAACCTATACTTTTTGCTGTGTTTAAGTGATAAAATCGTGTACTTAATGTCGTTTACTTCCATTTTACAGGTTCTAAGTGATTTAGAAGTAAAGGGTGGAAAAACCAAGTGAAAACAGATCAAAAGGAGCTAAAATGAACAAAATGATGCCTGCCAGTGATTTGCCCTTCGCGAACGCGAAGGCACAATGCGAACGCGAAGGCACAATGCGAACGCGAAGGAGCTGGAAACCTAACCTACGCGAACACGAAGGGACAAACGCGAACGCGATGGTTCAAAATCCAAAAACTTCGCGAACGCGTATACCTGAACGCGAACGCATAGACTCCAGACCTAAAGCTTCGCGAACGCGTAGGTCCAAGCGCGAACGCGTAAGATCAGAATATTAAACCTTCGTGAACGCGAAGTTGTTAACGCAAACGCGATGAAGAACTGGGCGTGAAAACTGGGCAGTTTTGGAATTTCACATTTTTGACCCCAAACCCTTTAATACCCAAATCAGCTCATTTGTAAAGTATCTTTGGCATATCTTTGGCTTATTTTCAGTTCATAGAGTTAGAGAGAACAAGTATTGAAGCTAGGGTTTTGCACACACACTTGGGTTTTGAAGATTGAAGCTTGTGGTTAAGATTTCTTACCCATTTATGTTTACTTCTTCATTTCCTTGCTTTGTATTGAATATTTAAGTGTGTAGTATTTATTTCCAACACTTGAATCTTGTTTATGGAAATATTCATATTTAAAGTGTGGATTAAATACCTTGTTGTGCTTATGTATTGAATGATTTTTATTCTTTTATGAAGTGAGTTATTGTTATTTTAATTATTCTTGTTCTTTAATGTTTCCAAAGGGATTAGGACTCGCCCATTAACTCCGAATTAATTTTGGAAAAGATAGTTTGGGGTTGGGAAAGATTAATTAACAAGAACTTGAGGCTTTAACCCTCATTTTATAGATTCTACCTAGGGATAGGATTAAACTACTTGTAGCCATTCCGGGTGTGCTTAATCTTCTAATTGTTTTAGGGATAATTCAATTAGGAAGTCTCGTTAGTCTTCGGAAGAAGCTAATTAAGAATTATTATCCGTGGCTAGTTAACATAAACTCGCTCATATTTGTAAAATCGTGAAATACATTGGATCGTTACTTGAGTGTAATTCCCGATGCAACCATACTTGTAGCCATTGATCATTTTACTTGCTTTTTAGGTTAGTTTACATTTCCGCATTTAGATATAAAACATTTTCAAAACCAAATTCTTATTTTTTGGCATTGCGCGATAAGCGATAATTTTCTTACATTCCTAATCGCCTACACATTGTTCTCTGTGGGATTCGACCCCGACTAGCTTCCCCGGCAACGGCGCCAAAATTTGATACGCTCAAATTACACTTTTATAAATTGTGTAAGGCGGTCGATGTCAAATATAATAACCTAACAAGGTTGGGGTCGAATCCCACAGGGAATAGGTGTGAAAAGGTTACTGGGATAGTGTGTTACTCGACTAAAGCCGTAATCCTATCCAGTTAACGGTAAAAAGAGTGTGAATTAATAGTGGCAAAAGTATGAATTTAGTTTGTTTTGAAGTAACAACCAATTGGAATATTGAAGGTGTAATTAATAAGATTAAAGAAACCAAGGTTGTGTCCCCTTTAATGAAATGTAATGCTATCGGTGTTAATATGATATATTTCTAATGGTTGGTCCCTTTGATATGCAAATGATGTCTAAGCAACTACCCAATATTTCCCAATAGTTGGGTAGTATTTCTTCTTTATAATTTTCTCAGATGTAAAAGAGTTGCAATTAGTAACAATCAATACGTGCCAAATAAAACCCACTTATCCCTAAGCGATTTTATCAAACAAGGTTTAATGCCTTGAGTCTTTGATATTTACTTCTACCAAATTCTAACCCACTTTCCCAAGCAAAGTAGAATTTAATGGCACTTGTGAATATTTGTGTAATTAAGTTTTCTTACCTTGGTCTATTTTTCTTGTTTGTTTCTTGTTTATTTTCTTATTTTGAAAAATGGCATCGTATAATGAAAATTGGTCGGATGTAGTTGTTCATACTTTGATGACCCTTATCCTTATTGTGGAGGACCACACTCGTGGCAAAATTATTTAAATTCTCCCGGGGGTGGATTGTGCGCACAATCTCAAACCCATGAGTGGAGTATGTGTGATAGGTGTGGTTTTAAAAATGGTCATTGGGATGATTGTACTTATTTTTCCTTCCCTTCCCCAAGCCCCTACTATTATGATTCTACTTTTTGTGATGAAAGTTATAGGGCTATGGAAGTGAAAAAAGTTGAGCATGGACAAAATGGAGAGTTCAAGCTCATGTTGGAGTGTCTACTTGAAGGGGGAAACAAAGAACAAAGTGCCTTGGAGGAGCTTTTGGAAAATAGTCTCCAAAATGAATTGGCACTTGAGAGGTTGCATTCACAAATGGGAGAAATGCTTGAAGCTTTAGAGGTCCAAAAAGCCTCGGAAGTTAATGAGAGCCAAAAATTCTCCTTGGATGTAGAAGTTGAAAATCCTTCCTTGGCACTTGATCAAAACCAAGAAGAGCTCTCAAATGCTCAAAATGAGAAAATAATGCGCATGTTGGAGACCGTTCTTGAAAATGAGGAGAAGCACAACTTTGCACTCGAGGACTTGAAACAAGGCTTGAAATACAATGATGAACACATTCGCACTTTGGAGGATCAAATGCAAATATTGGTTGAGGCTCACTATGCCCACCAACTTGAGAGTGTGGAAGAAAGCCAAGAAGAATCCAATTCCGAGGAAGAAAGTGAGCTTTACTTTGAGGATTCAAGAATTGAACATCCGCCAACCGACTCTATGAGTATTAATGTTGCCAAGAAAAATATGGAAGTAGAGTCAACCGGTGTAAATAATAATTCGGTTGAGATTGACTCTAGTCCGGGGGAAGAAGAGGATGTCAAAATAGAAAAATTGCAAAGTGAAGGTTTGAAATCACATTCCAAGCATTTTTCAACATTGGAATTGTGTGGTGATATGGAAGTTGAACTACACGAATCAATGGAGGATTACGAGGAGGAAAAACTCATACCATTCATTTTACAGTTTGAGGAAACAAGAAAACAAAATGACATTCCTCACATGAGAGCCAAGAAGTGCAAAATGAAGAAATTAAGGATTGGCTTTATCATCGACTTACCACCCCCGTTCGCTCGTGGTCACAAGCTTGATTCCAAGCTAGGTGCCCAGTTCATATCATCCAAGTGGCGAGAAAAGTGGTAAAGTTGTTTTGCATCGTGCCAAGACGTTAAATGCGGCGCTTGGTGGGAGGCAACCCATCGTTTTTCAAAATTTTTAGTCGTTTTTGAAATTTTCTTTTTTAGAATAGCGTAGAATATTATTTGTAACTAATCTGCCAAGTTTGATAATTTTTGGAGTTGATTTGAGCAGGTCGGGATGACCCGGAAAGCCAAAACCAGTAGCTGTTGGAAAATGCAGGGGCAGTCTTCGCAATTGCGAAAAATAGTTCGCATTTGCGAACTTTTCCCATCGCAATTCCCAAGATATGTTCTCAATTGCGAACCAAGCAACAATTAATGTACTTCGCAATTGCGAAGATTCTGTCGCAATTGCGACTTCTGCGAGGTAAAACCAGGCTTTTGCTCATTTTGAACGAAAATTGAACACAAACGACTAAACTCTCAAACTCTTGGTTCCCTCCCTCCTCATCACTGTAAAATCCCTCAAATCTCACTCCTCATTGCAAGGAATCAGGTATGAAAGC